CCATCTGACCCGGAAATTTGACTCCTAGATCTGTCCCCAAGAGAGCCAAAACGTGGATACAAGTGTTTTAGCAGCATTACCCATTAACAGCCAAAAAATGGACACAACCCCAACGTCCATCAGCAGGTGAATGGATAACAAAATGTGGCACAGAAAGAAAGAAAGTAGGAATGCTCCCTACAGCATGCATGGGCCTGGCTAAGTGGAAGAAGAAGACACAAAAGGCTACATGTTGTATAATGTATTTGCAATGCCCAGACTAGGTATTTGCACAGAGACAGGAAGTAGATTGGTGACTGCCAGGCAGGAATGGAGCATGACTTCTAATGCGCGTGGGGTCTCCTTTTAGGGTGATGAGAACATTCTGGAATCAGGTAGTGGTGATGCTTTCACAGCCTCGCGAATGTACTAAATGCCGCTGAATTGGTCACCCGTGAAGGGTGAATGTGCTGGTATGGGAATGCCATCTCAATGAGGAATAAATAAATATTGAGAGTTAGACCATTACAAAAATGTTAAAGGATCAGGCTCTTTGAGAGCAAGATGTTCAGGAGAAGCCTCCTAGGAAAGTAAAGTTTGGGGTAGGCCCAGAAGAAATGAGAGGGGAGGTCAGCGGGCACCCCTAGCAGCGAGAACGGGCACCTTGAGTCTTGGCCAGCAAGCAGAGTCTCGTGTGGAGATGACCAGAAGCAGAGGTTGCTGGACAGGGAGGCTTAGTGGCTCAAGGAGCAGAGGTGGGAAAGGGATCGGAGGTGGTCTGTTGATCTCCCTGCTGAGCTTCGGAGCTGGATGGAACACATATCCCCAGCAAGAAGGCCTTTGCAGAAAGGTTGCAGGCATGGGTGGTACATCCTAAGTGCTGCTGTAGGGGGGTGAGTCTCGCTGCTGCCCGGGACGAGTTAATGAGGGAAGGGACCACAGCAAAGGTCTGGGAGCACTGCTTGGATGTGCATTCCCAAGCTGGAGGCTGCTGGGAACAGGAGAAAAATGAGCAGAACTTTTCTCCAGCCCTGAGGGGATAGGAGCAAGTCTTGCATTTCTTTAGCAATTCACAGTTGGCCGTAGCTTCCACTTTTTTTTTTTATTAGCTCATTCATCTTTGAGACAATTCTTGACACGGCAGAACGTTATCACTAGCTCCTTCTACAGAGAGAGAAACTGAGGCTCAGAGAAGTTCGGTCCCTTGCCCGGGGCTGCTCCTAAGTGGTGGTTAAGAGAAGCCCTAACCTGGGCTCACAGTTCATCCTAGGCTGACCTGTAAGCCTTGTTGAGGAAGCAAAGCGTAGACACGGAGAATAAATAAAACCCCCAAACTATAGCGCAGTGCAAATATATGCTAACCAAAGACAGGCCTTAAATGATTATCAACAAACACATTAATTTGTGGTGGGTTGTACTCCGTCAGCCACATCAAGTGTTTGAAATGCCTTCTCTTTGGATCTTTCTATTGCTGAGCTTTCTGTTGCTAAGCAAAAGATCAAGAAGACAGAGTTTGTGCAGAGGTTTTGAAACTGGGTCTTCGAATGAGACCCGGCTCCAGCCCCACCTCCACCATTTGCCAAATGAACTTGGACCCCACTTCTCCGAGCTTCAGACCGCTCACCTCTCAAGTGACGGTCACACACCCAGCTCACCAGGACGGCCACTATGTAATTTTACGATGACGTATATAAAGCACACAATGCATGCCTAGCCCACTCAGGCGGTATTCGAGAAGCAAAGGGGAGTTTTTAAAAGGTTCACAAACGAGAATTGGCATTCACTGGGCGCAAACAATATATCCTTAATCTTCACAACGAGGTAGGTTTTACTGGTCCCATTTTATAGATGAGGGAATTGATTGAGGCTGGAGGAAATTCGCTTGCCCAAGGTCACACAGCCAAGATGTGGGATAACCATGTTTCAGACTTGGGTCTGGCTCCGAGGTCATTACTTTTGTACTCTGCCACACCACTGATGACAACGTGAGAACTGGAGAGCAAAGGACTCGTGGAGACACAGAGGCTGAATTATGGGCTCAGATGGTGATGTATTTCAGAGCTATGGAAGGAGTTGCAAGCACCACTCTGTTTACCGGACTTCGGTCTGGATTCCGACTTGCATGGCCCCAAGTACAAACTGTTAGGTTCTCCAGGCCTTTCCTCCTTCCTTATCTCTCCCCTCCCCACTGCCTTGAAGGATTTTCAGATCAAAGGTGCAGCCGCTCTCCAGGGGGTAATCCTGTTGCCTGTAACCTTGTTTTCCGAGTGTCCTTCACAGAGAAGGGCTTCGGCCAAAAATTTCTCCCTCTGCGTAATCACACAATTTTTCTTGGCCTTCACCAGCCCTCAGGACAGAAAGGTAGATGACTGCCTTCGGAAGCATTTTTATGCTGAGGAGCTGCCCAGAATAAATTAGCCAGTCCTCAGAAAGTGTTAGATACGCTACTTCCGTATCCTCATTTTAGTTTCTGCTTTGGTCCTTTTCGTTCTTAAACACCACCTCTTTTTCCCTTCCTGAGGACTGGCACCCTTTGACATCTAGCCCACTCCTGGAGGCAGGGGGTCGGGGGAGGCACATCTCTGCACCAAGGAAATTTTCTTTCTCCAGGTAAGAATTTGTAAGATTCTAAGACCCAGACATGATCAGCAAGTTGAGAACTGAACCGAAAATACTCCCAATCACCCAAGGGAAGCAGAAGCCCAGTGGATCCAGGATTAAAGATAACAAGACAGCATCTAAGAGACGGTGGCAGAAATAACCAAGTATTGGAGAGGGAGCCCAAGGCTGCACCAGGGGGCCCTGGCTCTCTGTGAAATGTGGCTTGCTGGAGAAACCTTCCTGGTTGATACAATTTTTAGAAACCCCTTCACAAGCCCCCCGAGACCCCTTCCCTCAGGGAAAGCTCTGTTTGTCCTTGGAAACATCAACGGGCTTCCTACTACTTCCCTGTTATTTCCAGGGATCTCAGAGAAGCCACTGAATGTCAAAGGGAAGACGTACTTGAAATTGAACCATTTTTAGGTTCCTTAAAGGCATGTGGACCCGGGGCGCCTGGATGGCTCAGTCGTTAAGTGTCTGCCTTCGGCTCAGGTCATGATCCCAGGGCCCTGGGATCGAGCCCCACATCGGGCTCCCTGCTCAGCGGGAAGCCTGCTTCTCCCTCTCCCACTCCCCCTGCTTGTGTTCCCTCTCTCGCTGTGTCTCTCTCTGTCAAATAAACAAAATCTTTAAAAAAATAAATAAATAAAGACATGTGGACCCTAACTTGACCTTGCTCTTTTGCCAGTCTTCTTTCCTACAGAGAGAGACTGCGAGTAATATGAAGGAAATTGCATTTCTACCCCCACCCCCACCCCCAACCTTCTCTGGACCATAATCTGACCTAAAGAACAACCACTTTCCCTCCGCTGGAGGTTTGCAAAGGTTGAAGGACCCCTTTTCAAAATGGAAGGTGATTTAAAAATGTTCTTCTGTCCTGGCATTGGGTTTCTTAACATCTGAATCTAAAGAACCATCTTTCCCAAAACTCCCCACCCACTATGTCCCTAACACACACACACACACACACACACAGACACCTGTCAGGTCCCCCAGCAACTCAAACTCCATCAGATTCTTTGGCACCACCTAGTCCTGCTGAATCGAAAATCCTGGGGCTGGGGCCCAGCAATTCCCTAATCACCTGGAGAACTTATTAATTCATGAATTCCTGGCCTCCAGCCCCAGAGATTTTGATTCAGTAATTCTGCAGTGGGACCCAAGAATTCACATGTACGTCAAACTCCCAGATGGTGCCATACTGCTGGTCCAGTGAGTAGCCCTGGTGTCCATAGCTTCCCACCTGCCTCCAGGGCACAGATTTTGGCCATATGCTAAGTGGTAAATTGTGTGCAAAGATCACGGATGGACAGACAGATGGGAAAGGGAGGAGGTGTAGACTAACAGAAGAAAAAGAAGGAAAAGAAGTTCCGGCAGGGGAAAGCAATTCTTGGAAAAGAGACCTGTTCTTCCTCAACACACTTTATCAAAGCGTTTCTTTCTGGTGATTGCCATTTCCCTGTGTCTAGTCCCAATTACTTTCCCACTGATTCAGACCTATTAATGGTTTCTCAAGGGCCTTATGAAAATGGGGGCACAAGACCAAGCCCAACAAAAAGGATTAAGAGAACACAACCCTAGGGCCCAAGGTCAGACCTCCCTGGTGCAACAGGACATGGGGGCAGGGACGCCGTGTCTCTGGAACGTCTGAGAGGGTTTTGTGCCTCCCTCCCTCCTTCACACTGGTCCCGTCCACAGAGCACGTGGTCTCCACTTCTCAGATTTCACCAGAATCACTTAGTTAAACATAGATCGCTGGCCCCGTCCCTGGAGTTTCTGATTCAGTAGATTGGGCATGGGGTCTGGCCTGAGCACCTGCATTTTTAACAAGCTCCCAGTGACGTGGATGCTGCGTGCCTAGGAACCCCTCTCTAGAACCACTGGTGTGCATACCTGAAATCATACCAGAAGTCATTTAGAGTCATTTCGACCAGTGGCCACCAAGAACAATTCTGGGGAGGGGGCAAGTTGCTTCCAGCCCGGTGCCAACAGGTAGGGAAGCATCTGAACCTGGCTGTGCCTGCAGCAGGTGACTCAGAAACGGGAGCCCGGTGCTCTGCAGAGGGGGACACTGTCATGCCTGGATGATGCCTTTTGTGAAACCCTCAAATGTTACGTATTTGCTCACTCAGAAAGTCCCTATAACTCCACTGGATCTGGAAGTTTATACCTCCCTCTGAACATCACATCTCTCATGGTGTTTGTTATAGAAGTTTTACTGTTTCCTACCATCTGCCAGAAGAGGTGATGTTTAGGCTCCGAGAACGGTCCCCGAGACGCTTGTTGATGGGACCAGTCTTCAGCCTATGGACTGGGCTTGCGGAGGAGGAGGTCAGCCTGTCTCACTGTGTCACTTCTCTCTTCTCTCCCCCTCCCCGCCCTCCCCGTCTCCTTACCCTCTGCTCCCCCTGCAACCCCAGTGCATTCCCAGAAGCAGAACAGACAGACCTGCGTCCGCAAGAGCCTCATCTGCGCCTTCGCCATGGCCTTCATCATAAGCGTCATGCTGATCGCAGCCAACCAGATCCTCCGCAGCGGCATGGAGTAGTGCCCTTCCCCGCCGCTGCGTCCCCGGCTCACCGTGCATGTGCATGCCCTGCGGGCCGACGCTGTCCCCCGAAAGCAGACATGGACCATGCAGACAGGGCACAGTGGAGTGAAGAACCCAAGGCTGCGGTGCAACGGGTGTTGCCCATCCACTTCATCTCCTTGGCAGGGACACAAAAGGGCTGTCTTAAATGCTTTAATGGTTTTGTTTCCTAATGCAATAAAATAGCCAGGAGTTCCCAATGACTGCGTCAATCACCCCCAGGAACTCGGAAGAGAGACTTCATTCCCATCTCGGACTTCTCCAGTGGCCATCCAGGCTGGTGGTGTAGGAGAGCAAGAGGGAGGCGTGGACGTGCAGTCATTTCCATGCCCCGTTGTCTCAACCCCCCAGGGTCAGCTGAAGACTCCCGGCTGAGGGAACCCTCAGTCCCCAGAGGCTGACTTCCGGCTCGCTCCCAAAGAGGGGGCCTTCCATCCCACCCTGGCTTCCTTCCTCCACCCAGTGGAGCCCGTCCCCCCTCCCAAGGCGTGAGGGGAAAGCCATCGAATGGGGTGCAGTGCCTGTCGGTGTGCAGGGGGCACCCCTCGCTTCCGTTCTTACTGCCTTTTCTACAGGACTCCTGTTGGCAGAGTTGGGGAGCTCTCAGTTTCCGTCGGCACTTGGCTTTCTGTTCCTAGAGCCCATCGCGCACCAGCATTTTGGAATCTGCAGAGAGCCTTTCTCCCAGCTTTGCCCCCTGTGCTGCCATTAGTGAAAAAAGAAGCATACTCGTGGGCATCTCTATAACCTAGACACATAGACAGACGTATGCATTGGGCTTCTTCACGTGTGACGTCATTCTCTCCTACTCGCTTACTCCTGATATAAGCTTGTCCTCCGACACACGTCCCTGCCTCCTTTGGGTGGGCCAGGTAGTTTCGGGGCGAGGGGGGTGCAGGGAGGGACCGAGACCAGTGGGGAGGTGGTGTTGCAGCCCACCCCCAGCCGTCAGAGGAGTCCTGGAGCCTGAACCCACCCATCCATGCCAGAAGACCCCTGTAAGTTCAGGTCCTTGAGCATCTTTCCTTCTTCTCGTCCTAAAATATGCTTTGTTAGTCTTCCCCAGATAAAAAGAGAAATACAATCCCCAGTGGAAAGATGGAAAGATCAAACGACTATTTTACATAACACCTTCCAGCACTCAGATTCTACAACTGACTCATTTTCATGAGGAAACAAAAAGACGTGTATCAGCTTAGCCAGCACGACAGGTGATTCGCTCCTGCCTGCAGAATACTTCTGCTGGGGAAGAGACCTGGATCCCGTGGTCCGTGTTCAACACCATTTCAAGTCTGTAATTCCCCGACTTCTCCCAGAGGCCCCATCAGCCACCACTATTGATTCAAGCTTGCATAGTCTGATTGGCCGATCATCTTTCCATGTGATGCTTTCCTTTGTACTTTTCCGAGCTCGGGTCTTCAGTTCTGTAATGGAATTGTCTCGCTCCTCTTTCTCTCCATCACATCCTCAGGCTACATGCTTTTCCCGCTCCCTCTTCCCCTTTCTTCCAGTATTGAGGTGCCAGAATCTTTCCTCTCTAGGTTTTGCGGTGTGGTGTGTGTCCCCAGTCCCCTCCCCCAGATCCCCCCCCCCCCCCCCAGTTTTCTCCCTTACTGCCTTCTCTGACTCGTCCTTTTAGGGTCTTCTTCCCGTTCACCTCTGCAAGCGCTTCAGGCAACAGCCAGGGGGCAGCTGTAGAAACTTCCCCACTGTGGGAGACTGCAAATATTCATGATGAGCACAAGTAAAACTAGGGTTTGAGCCATAGTCCAGAGGATGGAGCAGGTGTAAGCTCCTAAGAGCCCGGGGGCTGAGGGTCCCGCTGGGAAAATGCCTGGAGTCCCGCACATCCAGGCCAAGGAAGGCAGCAGCCTGCCTGTCCCTCTCGCCCACCCTGCCCTGCCACGGAACACACTGCACATCTGCCTCTTCTCTCTCTCCCCCTGCCCGACTCACCATGGTCCTCAGGATCGGCTTCCGGAATGAGGACAGGTCCGAACACAGAGCACTAACACATAAGACAACTTCGTCATTAGTTTTTGCCCAAAGCAGCTTATGTCCCCCGACCCCCCAACTGGACTTGGATGGGAAGGACCCCATGAACCACAAGACCATGTCCTCCTGGGGAGCCAAAGCAGATTGAATAAAGACCCCAAGGGATGACTTCTAAAGGAGCCTGCCCCATGAGAAGGGATTGCGATGCTTCTTCAAAGGCTGGCTCTCTGCAAATTCTTCTGCCTCTCACCGGAGAACGGGGTCCCCGAAGGATGTGAGACTTAGAAGAGATTTTAGCCACAAGGCAGGGGCAGGGATTAAAAGGAGCTCTAGAGAGGCAGCAACAACCTGTTCAAGGCCTCAGCATCCTCTCCCTGAAGAGGACACTTTTCCCCTCTCAGTGACCAGTAAGCAAGCCCATCCTACCCAGAAGGGATTCGAGAAGCATGCATCCCTTGTGAGGAGAGAGGACAACATGGAAGCTCTAGAACTATCTTGGGTGGGCTAGAGTTGACCTCCCGCCATGGTGCCCTCCACACGCGTGGCACCCAGGGGCTGAAGTGTGGGGAGATAGCCCAAAGCTAGTTGCATTCCTGAGACTTTGGGAGCTAAGAGCTTGTCCCTGTGCCGTGACCCCTGGCTGCTTTGCCTGGACCGTCTGTCAAAGGTGTTGGGATTCTTTGTAAGGCTTAAGAGGTTGACTTTCGGCAGGTACCGTCCATACCAGAGCTACTTCGGGTCCTCGCCACAGTTACTTATGATGCTCACGGATAAAGCGTGGCTCATTCTTGCTGTAAGAACAGGTGCCCCCCCCCCCCCAGACCACACAAGCGACGATCGGGGAGGCATTTTGCTAGGGGGACAAGGCACGTAGACCCTGATCCCCTTGGCCCCAGAGCAAGCTGTCTCCTATCACTCCAGACGCAGACAGAGCCCCCAGACAGGACCCAGCATGGGAACTATTAGAAGTGGCTTCCAGAATGTGCGTGGGTCCCACGTGACCAATCTGTAAAAGAAAGGGGGGGGGGATTATGTTGCTATGGCAACCCTTGCATTCCACCCCGAGTTTGCCAAGGCACACAAAAATAGGGAACATTTTCTTAAAGAACACTTGGGCTCTGCCTGATTGCAACCTGACTCCCCGCATCCACATCCCACTAGCGGAGTAAATTACACTCCAAAAATCTGGCGGTTTCTCTGCCTTTTCTTGTGTTTTGAAACCATTCTTCCATTTGCTCAGGAGAACAGGAGCCACCTGAGAGCCGGGTGGTATTCTCCCCACCCCACCTCCTCTCCCCCTTCCCAGGGCCCGGAGCAAAGACCCCTTCATCTGGGCAAAAAGGCAGAAATGTCGTTTGGAAGGCAAAAAAGTATTTTAAGCTTCAATCTTTAAAAGCGTCTGCTTGCCTGTTGAGACGCTCTCCCACAAGCCAGAAATGTGAACTGGAGTGAACTGAGGTTTACATGTGGTCTTAGGCAAGCCCAGAGGCTTCAGAACTTTCTAGGTGTTTTATTTGCAGAGAACAAGATGTGCGCCACGAGATGTGTTCTTTCCCGATACCCGTTCCTGTCTCCAGTTTCACATGACAAATGGTCTATCTTGTGGTTAGCGAAAAGAACCGAGTGAAAGATGGCTAGCTCCTTTTGACAGTGATGCCCCTCCCATCCTCCCCTCTACAGAATCATAAAGCGATATATCTAAGAAGGGGAGGGAGAAATTTCTCTTTTATTCCACATGCCTTCTCTAGGCTTTAGCCCAGACTCAGGTTATAAATCAAAGAGAGTTTTGCTCTTAACTCGTAGCTGGCAGCCTCCCCGGGACCATGACAGAAGAGTAAGGGGGCGACCGCCAAGCACAGGTCCTTGGGTTGGCTGGCCTGGCCATGTGTGGCTGCATGTCATGAAACCCCGTTCCGTGATGTCATTGCCCTCCATCCCTGCAGAAGCTGCTGAGCTCTGCTCCTCCCAGCTGGAGGTCCCAAACCATACTGGGTCAATCTACTGCACTATTTCTCCGAAAGCCCATAGCGATGGTGTTATTCACCCTGCTCCATGGAGATGTAGGGAGATCTGGAACCCCATTGCGAGGAGGGGCCCCTTTTCTGATAGTGTCATGACGATACAGATGGGCTGAGCCTAGATTTCCAGACTGTGGCACGTACTGGTCGTATTCCCAGGGTGACTGTCTGGAGAACAGCTGTCTGCTTTGAGCTGAGATCAGAACTTTCCCGTTGGCCTCCTCAGTGATCCCCACAGGGCTAAGGGTCCATAACCTAAAGGCCTTGCCATAGCCATTTTCCCTCACCACCTCATTACCCAACTGTCCCAAAGCGGGGGGCAGGGGAAGAAGCCATCAGAAATAGAAAAGTAACATTATTCACCAGCTGGGGTTTTCAACTTGAATTATTTAAAGCGATGGCGAAGTAGAGGAGGATTCGGGCTGCCCCTTGTGGACCCTGTCTCCACGACAATTTAAATGTCAGAACTGTTCAGCTTCACTTCATACTTCCTTCGACTAAGTCACTCAGGGGACTGTCCTCGGTCATGTGGCCTTGCCATAGACTTGGTTTGGGGAGGAATAAGGTCAAATGCACAAACCAGCCAAACATTTCTCTTAGTAGCCTGGGCTCCGTTGCTCATACGCATGACCGTGGTACATGGCTATGGTTTCTACTTTATATTGGTTTGGGACCCTCTTTATATGGTCTCAAGGGACATGATAACAAAGCTCAGAAAGTCTTCATAACAAAACTAATTTGATTCCATTGGCTTGAAATAATAGCCACCAAGAATCAGGTGTCGCCAGTCCCACGAAAGGCCGTCCTCTGAAACTGGAAAATACTTGCCCAGCCCCTGCCCCCTGCCCCTACTTCTGGTAGCTTATCGGTTGAACACCCATGCTGAGCATAGCCCTCACCCACCTCTTTTCCTTGAGCTTGGTGGGTTGGCTGTCAGAACCGTGCTTCTCACAATGTTCGAAGTTACTGTCCAAGAGAAAGGGTTGCAGGGGCTGGAATTTCCCAGTGGAGTAGAAGAGCAGGCTAATTAGGAAGGAATATTCCAGGGAATGAAAAATTCAAATGTGCTGTTTCTCCATCGCTGGACCTGTAAGAGCAAAAGAAAAATTGTAAAGGGCTGCAGAGGCTGGTCTCTGGACGTTTTCCCTGTGTGTCTGGCCCACACAAGGGACTGAGGGCCTCAGGGTTGCTGCCCATCAACCCAATCCCTCTGACATGTGGGGCAAACGTCAAGAGGAGGCTGGTGGGTAGCTCGCCTCTCCTTGGGGAATGCGGACATCTGCCAAGCTCAAAATGCGTCTCCCGGGGTTTTCTGTCTGGGCTCAGACCCGTTGAATTAGGCCAGGAGAGCAGAGCTTAGAACCAGAGATATGGGAGCACGATCACGTGCAGGACCCCACATGCTGCTGCCACCCACCAGCCTGATGACTTTGAGCGACGTTCTCTTCCTGGCCGCGGGTTTCTCATCTCTAAAGCGAGAGGAAAGGTAAACCAGAAGAGCCCCCCCCCCCCCCCCCGCCCCACTGTGACTCTGTCTGAAACGAGTCAAAACGATGCCTAGACTTGAGAGGGTCCCTATTCCCCCATGAATGGTGTCAGGGACTGGCGGTTCTTTTTACATGACAGCTCCCAAGAGGCAGTTGTAATAAAGTATCGCTTTGGGTGTCCATGTCTGTAGATGAAACAATGCAAATTGGTTTATGTCAAATGTGTGATGTCTTGCAAGTAAGAGGTTTTGTTTACTCCCTAAGGTCTTGCTGACTCAAGGGAACATCAAAGATGGGCTTTGTGCCCTCATCTTAGCCAGTGTGAAAAGTAAGGGGCTTTGATCACTTCATCGCAGATCTTGTGCATCAGAATTCATGAATAA